AGTGACGCGAGTGACGCGGTTAATTGATAAAACTTACGTAAGTGACGTTTATAACTGCCAATATGACGTAATTGACGAAAATTGCCGCCAAACTAACGTAAATCACATATATTGCTATGAATGTGACGTAGCAGACGCTTGTAATCGCCAACATAACGTAAGTGACGATTATGGCCGCAAAAGTTACGTAATTAACGCCTATGAACGCGAAAGTTACGTGAGTGACGCTTATTGCTGCCAAAGTGACGTAATTTATGTTAATTGTTGCCAAAATGACGTAATTGACGTTTATAACTGCCAAAGTAACGTAATCTACGCTTATGGCCACCAAAATAACGAAATTGACGCTAATTGTATCCAAAGTGACGTATATGACATACATGGCCACTGAATTAACGTTATAAACGCTTAATGGCCGCCAAAGTGACGTGAGTGACGCCTGTGGGCGAAAAAACTAACGTAAGTGACGTTTATGACTGCCAATATGACGTAATTTACGCCAATTGCCGCAAAACACTTACGTATATCACACTTATTGCCACTAATCTTACGTAACAAACGGTTGTGGTCACTAAGATGACGTAAGTAACAACAATAGCCGTATACGTAACGTAATTAACGCTTATTGCCGCCAATGTTACGTAAGTGACGTTAATTGTTGCCAAAGTGACGTAAATTGTGTTTATTGTTGCCGAAATAACGTAATTGACGTTAATTGTTTCCAACGTGACGTAAATCGTGTTTATTGTTGCCAAAATAACGTAATTGACGTTCATAACCGCCAAAATGACGTAATCAACGCCTATGGTTGCAAAAGTGACGCGAGTGACGCGGTTAATTGATAAAACTTACGTAAGTGACGTTTATAACTGCCAATATGACGTAATCGACGAAAATTGCCGCCAAACTAACGTAAATCACATATATTGCTATGAATGTGACGTAGCAGACGCTTGTAATCGCCAACATAACGTAAGTGACGATTATGGCCGCAAAAGTTACGTAATTAACGCCTATGAACGCGAAAGTTACGTGAGTGACGCTTATTGCTGCCAAAGTGACGTAATTTATGTTAATTGTTGCCAAAATGACGTAATTGACGTTTATAACTGCCAAAGTAACGTAATCTACGCTTATGGCCACCAAAATAACGAAATTGACGCTAATTGTATCCAAAGTGACGTATATGACATACATGGCCACTGAATTAACGTTATAAACGCTTAATGGCCGCCAAAGTGACGTGAGTGACGCCTGTGGGCGAAAAAACTAACGTAAGTGACGTTTATGACTGCCAATATGACGTAATTTACGCCAATTGCCGCAAAACACTTACGTATATCACACTTATTGCCACTAATCTTACGTAACAAAACGTTGTGGTCACTAAGATGACGTAAGTAACAACAATAGCCGAAAAAAGTTACGTAATTGACGCTTATGGCCGACAATGTTACGTAAGTGACGTTAATTGTTGCCAAAGTGACGTGAATTATGTTTAATAGTACCAAAATAACGTAATTCACGTTTATCACTGCTAAAGTGACGTAATTTATGCTAATAGCTGCCAAAGTAACGAAATTAACGCCAATAATATCTAAAGTTACCTATATTAAGTATATAACCGTTAAAGTGACGTGAGTGACGTTTCTAATTGTGAAAGTTACGTAAGTTTTGCTTATAAGTGTAAAATTAATAAAAGTAACGCTGATAGCAGCTAAAATGACGTATGTTACTCTTATAAACGCCAAAAATACGTAATTCATGTTTATTCGTGCCAAAATGACGTAATTTACGTTTATAATAACAAAAGTGATGTGACTGACGCCTATAACTGTAAAAACTTACGTAAGTGACATTTATATCTGCCAATATGACGTAATTGACGCCTATTGCCGCCGAACTCTCGTATATCACACTTATTGCCGCTAATCTTACGTAACAAACGCTTGTGGTCACTAAGATGACGTAAGTAACAACAATAGCCGTATAAGTGACGCAATTAACGCTTATCGCCGCCAAAGTCACGAAAGTGACGTTAATTGTTTCCAAAGTGACGTAAATTATGTTTATTGTTGCCAAAATAACGTAACTAACGTTTATCACTGCCAAAATGACGTAATTTATTCAAATAGCTGCCAAAGTAACGGAATTGACGCCAATGGTATCCAAAGTGACGTATATGACATACATGGTTGCCAAAGTGACGTGAGTGACATTTCTAATTGTGAAAGTAACGTAAGTTACGCTTATAATTGTGAAAGTAATGGAAGTAACGCAAATAGCAGCTAAAATGACGTAAGTTACGCTTATAAACGCCAAAAATACGTAATTTACGTTTATAACTGCCAAAGTAACGTAATCTACGCTTATGGCCACCAAAATAACGAAATTGACGCTAATTGTATCCAAAGTAACGTATATGACATACATGGCAACTGAAGTAACGTTATAAACGTTTATGGCCGCCAAAGTGACGTGAGTGACGCCTGTAAGCGAAAAAACTAACGTAACTGACGTACAGTGGTACCTCAAAATACGAAATTAATCCGTTCCGAAACTGAGATCGTATCATGAAAATGTCGTAAAGTGAATCATCTTTTCCCATACGATTACATGTTAAACCAAATAATTCGTTCCAACGCGAAAAACATACTCAAATAAAAGCCAAGTAATACATTAAAAAAGTAACTGTAGTAAGAAAAAGAAATGAAAAATGCGAACTAATGTAACGTCGTATGGTGAGTTTTTGTTCGTATCGTGGAGAAAAAATATGTTCGAATTTCATGTCGTATCCTGAAAATTTCGTATGCTGGGGCGTTCGTAACCTGAGGTACCACTGTATATGGCTACCATGATGACGTAATTGACGCAAATTGCCGCCAAACTAACGTAAATCACATTTATTGCCGCCAATGTAAAGTAACAGGCGCTTGTGTTCGCCAAAGTCACGTAAGTGCCGACTATGGCCGCAAAATTTATGTGATTGACGATTATGGCCGCCAAAGTTACGTAAGTGACGTTTATTGCAGCCAAAGTTACGTAATTTATGTTT